TCCTAAATTTTATTTCAGGTAGCAAATACTGTTTTACTGAGAATTCATGCAGTTTCTAATTCTAACTACACAACTAATCACTTTTAGTTACACGATTTTAATCTTCAGCCGACCTCAGACACGCTATGCCATGATAAAGAGGAATTCAAGAAGTTTGCTTCCAAAGAGAGAGAAAAAAACGATACAAAGTATGCTCCTATGACCAGAAGCCTGAAGGACGCACCTCTTCATCATTAACTTTAAAATCAACGTACAGACATTGTAAGCGGTATTACAGATTTCTTTTTTTTTTTTTTAAATGAAAGCTATGACATTCTACTTACCTTAATGACAAATTTGTTGGATGCCATGATAGGTCAGTGTAAGCTGGTCCTATAAAAATATCAATTAAAAGTGATCAGCACTATAGAAAAACTCAGATCTCTACACCAACTGAGAAGGATTTTTAAAATCTATTACTCATTTTTTTCGTTACTGCTGCTCTTCAAACCCTATACTCCGCTTTAAGAAAACCAAGGAAAACTCTTATTTAAAGGAGAATTACTTAACTACCTGCGTTGGTTTGTTTTAGTGAACCTCATAATTGTTCAGGCACTTAGCATCCAACACACGAAGTACAAAATTAGAACTATTTTTCAGACCAGTACCAAGACAGAGACAAACCCATATAACTTACCCTCAAAAAGCCTTTCAGAGAGCAGCAAAGTAAACCTGGAATATTTCTTTACTACTGTCTCAACCACTGGTCCCTACGTATACGGCCCCTGGTCTAGTTTCTCTTTCAAAATAATAGCTTCACATAAAATCCCTTTGCATAGCTTAAAGAAATAAAGAATGAAAAAGAAAAGAGGGAAGAAAACACACAAAATTAAAAAGGTGGTGTTTTCAAGAAAAAATAATCTTAATACATGAAATAATACCTGCTCCAGTCAAGAAAGTCCTCTCTACATAAAGTTCATCCCTTCCTATCTTGTGGATACTCCATTTCTACTTAGCTAGGGAGCCCACAACAGCCTGCATACAACAATGGCCCTATAGAAATAATATCCTCCACCATGCTCTCTGAACAGGGGCTCAGCAACACTACGCAAATTTCAAAACTTGCTTTCAGACCAAGCGGCAGTAAGCAAACTTCAGAATTGAGACACCTACTCACTACCTGCAGTTCTGGTAATCAGTAATATCAGAGTTTAAACCAGTTCAAGAACAAAGCGCAGTCACGTTTTGGTTTGGTTTTTTTTTTTTAAGTAAGAAACTATGTCTTCCAGTGCACCTACTATGCATATATTATTATGTATATTTAAAATTTTAGACTACTACATACATAAAGCAATGTGACCTGAGCCTTACTGTGGTTGCACAAAAGTAAAGTGAACTTTAGACATCCTCTTCTCTTGCTTACCCCAAACAGGGTTTAGATTGCTTAATTTGGGATACTGAGTGAGGTACATTTAGCTGCACAGACCCTGACCCTGCCTCAGACCGTTCCAAGTAACTCAGGAAGCATTAATTCATGCTGGAAGTTAAACGCGCCCTCCCTTGGGCGCAAGAAGAAACCTTCAATTAATTGCTAAGATTCCCCCCCACCCCTTAAAAGAACAATGTATCTCACTCAAATGACTACAATCTTCAAGTTGGCTTGCAAGCCAAACCACAAGTCTAATCACCTTCCACACCAATTTCAGTTTTTTAACTGCTTTTTTTTTCTTCCCCAAACTGACAACAATTACAGTCACAGCACTGAAACTACTGGGGAAGCTCATCATTCTCCACATAAACGGGAGCTAAACATTCACTTGTCAAAAGGTAGAAGATATTTTAGCTGGAAAGACTTTCATGAATTTAACCTCACAATGCTGGGATTCAGAAGAGACATGGAATGGGCCCTATGGTACCAGATTAGTATCAACAAAAACCCAGGAATAAAAAAATTAAGATCCATTCTATTTTCACACAGGATAGGAACAGAAGCAACAGACAAGGAAGAGACTTGGATTGGACAGAAAATCAGGTGAACAAGGGACTTAGTATACCGGCAGAAGATAACACTTCAAACTTCAAAATCGAGAAAGAAAACAAGTGTCAGTAGCTGCTGCCTGCACTAGACGAACGGCAACAGAAATTACCCTGAGCATAGAGCTGCCTTTTACATTCTAAAGTTTCCTAAAGGATTAGCCTCTTAATAAGATAGACAAATCTGGTCAATTTTGTAATAGATGGTATAGAAAAATAGTAAGAACACAGGAAGACGTACCCGTTTCTCACTGCATACTTCAAGTTATTGTAAAGCACTGTGATAGAGCTGTCAAAATTTCAGGATACAAGTCAGGTTGGTGATACGTGTCTCTGTCAGGCACTAGACTTACACATTTCAAAATGCAGTCATTATCCTTATTTAACTTCAAAAAAAGCGCAAAACAAGATAAAGACCCACTTTACAACAACATAGCATAGCACAGATAATTTTGATCTTAAGATTCAACAGTAATTATTTTGAACTAAATAAACACTTCTACGCAGTGCTTCCATTCCAAACATCCAAATGCTGAGACCCGAGACTTCAAAACAACTGCGAGAAAATGTGAAAGTAACAAGGGCACAATTCCACATACTGGCTCAAGGAAAACTCCCAATTACTTCAATGATTTTTTTCTATATATCATATCAATACCCAAGCAGTAAGAAACAGAAACAGTAAAAAGGTCGTAAGGAGTGGGAAGTAAAATGGTTGTTACTGTAACCAGGTTAAAATGAGTTTGAACTGAGAATCATTCTGCAAGTAACTATGGAAAATAAACTTTAATACAGTTAATAAAATGTTTCACCTATGTTCTGAAAAAGCTCGAAGTTAGAGTTTTTATCAGCTGCATAGTAATAGTAAACAAAAAGTTACATAGAGCAAGCAAACTGAATTTTCAAATGACAGCCTGCAGACAGAAGCTGGAATACCATGCCTTGTGCCACAGACCGTCATTCTTTCTTGCACAAAATAGCCCTAGAAACTTTTCTATCTTATCAGAGTAAATTCTGTCAACTTTACCGATAGCAATCTTGAGAAACACAATGTAAGGAACAGTGCTCTGGACCACTTGGAACATCATATTTCAATTCAGTCAGGTAGTAAGGTGCTACTCTATAGAAGTAAACATAATAGAACAACTATAAGAAGAATCTTAGTAGGAGACAAAACTCAGAAATTCTTGAAACACCAGCTGCTAGAACTAGGTCAGAAGAGATGCTAAAGGGAAACGGCAGCCACCAAGTGAAAACCAACTGCACTTCTCAGTTCCTTGTAACAGTGTACAACATTGTATTCTTGCTGTCCAAGAAATCCAAGGAAGGACCACCCGCCCCATCATGCAAAACCAAAAAGCAAATAATAAGATATTTCACAGCCTTTTCAAAACACCACAAAACCTGGGCACGTACGACTCATCAGATTCTCTTAAAAAAAAGTCTCACAGCAGCATTTCAGGCTTGGGGTTTTAATTTTAATGAAATGCTAGTATCTAGAGTTTTACTAATAATCCCTACCTGCTCCCCCCAACCAAAAAAAAAAAATCAAAAATAGGAAAAACAGTAGGCAAAACACAGCAAAAAGTAGAAGACTCTTAAATGCTATAGTTTCTTCTCCAAGTAGCTAGAATCATAACCTGAAGTTAGGAAATCTGTAATTACAAACACAATTTGCTGTGGAGCGTACCATCAACTAAAGGCTCCTACAACAGCACTGATAATATTAAACAAACCTAACATTTACTCCGAATTACCTGTACCTTGGGATATGGCAGAACACAAGGTACTTTGCCTCATGCTTCCAGGAACATAGTTCACCTAGATTGTACACCGTTTTTGAGCTGCATACGGCATACAATTCACAATGGTGCCGCAGGCTTGTGACCTGAAGAACAATATTTGGACTGCTAATGTTTTATCGTTAATCCTTACAGTAGCAATAATATGAAGAAGAGTTGCAACAAAACATGCCAGAGCATCACCTCTTTTCCAAACGCTTATGTCCTGCTTGAGAACAAACAAAGCATGGGGATGAATCAGCTGAACTTATTCTGGCATCACCAACCTCTTTTTCATAACAATTTGCCATCCAGAATACTACTGTTGCAACAACTCTGCTACTAATGATGTGAGAAGGACTGCTGACAGGCAGAAATCCTCTCCAAATCCAATTTACAAAATAATAGAAGAAAAAAAAGAAAGAAAAATGGTGCGCAAGAGAAGTTACCTTTGGTTCAATTTGCTCTTCATGGGAATAAGCTGACTTTGGGAGTTTGCCAACTACCACATTCTTTTCATTGACCATATAGATAAGACAAAGGAAATACAGCAGACAGAATAAATGTAAGCAAATCCTTCAAAAAACAAGAAGAATACACCTAAGGTGTGAAACATCAGGAAAGTCGCTGAACTATCACAGATGAAAAGATAACCAATACTAAGACATCAGAAAATGAGGAAAAACACCCATCAATTGTACAAGAAAAAAAGCCAGCAAGCCCCAAAATAGTTTGCCATTTTTCTGTGTTGAAAAAAACCCACAAGAAACACAGATCTATTACAATTGCTACTATTTGATAATAAGAATCTGTTTCATCGAATACCATATCTGTTGCAAACTAATGTGAACCTCTAAAGGAAACTGTACATAAAGAAATGTGAAGATAAGCAAATAAGGCAGAAAAAGTCCTCTCAGAAACTATATATATTTATATATTTAAAAAAAAAAGTCTGATACGGTATTTGCAGTATTTCAACATCTACATTTTTGATGGACAGCCTGTACAAGAAAACACAATCTAGAATTAAACACATAGGTTCCCTGTAGCTAGAGTGAGACATGCTTCAAAAATAACATGGCAGAATACCTTTTTTCCTAAATTTGATGTTAAGTGGAATGGTAGACACTCAGGAGAAGCCAGGAAACACGGCCTCCCAGAGAGCGAGCTAAAGTGTTTTCTGCCAGCTGATGAACAGCATCTTACCTTAACAAAGTAGCAGCTTCCTTCTACTTCAGGAATAAGGAACCAAAAACTCCTGCCACACATGCCTGCTTGAAGATACAGCAGCTTCTAACACAACAGCTGCAAACTATTCACACTCTGCCCATCTTTGGGTGCCTTTACCATGTGTGGGGAGAGGTGGGCACCTAAAAAAAGGCAGAAACAAAAACACAAATGCTAATTAAGGAACCCATTTCTAGAATAAGTTAATATTAACTACTTTTGCAGTTCAAAATTAACTATCGCAACACAAAACAGAATTTTTCTGAACTTTCCAGTCCTTAGGTATCAAACGCTGTCCAGCCCAGACCCAGCACTCTTTTAGTCAGTTTCTGAGAGCTGATCCTAAGCTTGGGATGAGCAGCGTAATACTCAGCTACTACTAACACTCACATATTTAGTAAAGTATTTCTAGTTCTGAAAAGACATGCCAGAATCTTCACATTTTGCAGTTTCAGTATATTTAGGCCCACTGTTCCCAATTTCTCCACTTAACCTTTGGAAACTAGTCTTCCAACACGTTAGCATATTTTTAGCCTATTGTTATCTACGCCCCTTCCATTAATGAACTGCCAATTCTCCTTTAAAGTTCAACAATTCGGTTTCAAAAACGTTACCCTTTCACCACACAACTGTATAGAACTAGAGGAATGAGAGACTCTGAGGAACATCAGCATGCTTATTACAGACACGTGCCAGCTATTATCTTCTTGCATTGCTGGATGCCTTTTTTTTTAAGTTTTGGGAACAGTTGAATGCAATGAACATTGCATTCAGCCGTTCCACAAAACTTAAAAGAAAAAAAAATTGTTATACTCCTTTCTGTATGAAGATTAGGCATTAAAAACTTGCCTTTTAGCTACAGTTGTAAACTCTGCAACTATACACAAGGATAAACCTATACATTAACACATGAATATAACACAAGATATTCTTGACAGCGACTGCAGGAGTAGGGGGGGAGAGGAGAAGAGCGAATACAGAATAGAATAAGAGCTAAGAAAAATTTTTAGGAGAGGTCAGGCAACGAAGTTTTCTTGAACTTGGTCAGGGCAACACTGTCCGCCTGCAGGAAGGCTCAGACAGGTGCGCGCACAAGTAACGCGGAGTGACTGCAACAGGAGTTAAGCAAGGAAGAAAAGTCACAGAGATACACATATTTTAAGCCTGGCCGGTGCTTCAGAGGCTCGCCCCTCGCCGGGCCGGGAAGGGGTGCTGACGCGAGGGGCGGCGCAGGAGG